GGGGAAATAGGGGAGGGAGGGTGGGGGGTGGGAAGCTGGGGAGAGATAGCTGGGGGAGAAATGCCAGATGTAGGTGATGGGGAGGAAGGCAGCAAATCACACTGCCATGTGTGTTCCTATGCAACAATTTTGCATGTTCTTCACATGTACCCCAAAACCTAAAATGCAATAAAATAAATAAATGGGAAAAATAAATAAATAAATAAATAGGCCTTTCTCTTGGGAGTGATATGAAAACAAAGCTTCATAAGAATCTGAATCTGCATTGCAAATTCTTGGCTAGTAGATAACTAATTGGTGATATGTTTTGTATATTTCTTAATCTATTGTAACATAGACTGTGGACACAGAACAGGGTTTGGATTGTGTTTCTGCCACTGACCAGGGGTCTGACTTTGGGCAAGTTACTGTTAACCTCTGTGCATCAGGTTTATCACTTATGCATTCAGAAAATTATACCCAATTATGTTATTATTTAAGGTATTATTTTAAAGTAATCTTTTAAGCTGTTAAATGCCTAACTCAGTGGTTGGTGTATAATAAGTACTCAAAAATACACTTATTTTATATACATATGCTTTCACACATCCATTCCATGTGCAGATTGTTTAAACGTAGGAAGAGCTTAACCTTTCTGTGTCTTGTAAGTGGTTACAGAGGGTTGGCGGAAAGAGCTCTGACCTTTTGAGACACCACAGTGTTAATATTGTTCTGAAGTGGGAGAATACCTAGTAATAACAAAATAACAGTCTCTGCTTCCTACAGGGATTTGATGTTTATTAGCTCAGATAGTTGCCATTGAGACGTTATTGGCTACCAGGGTACTTTGGAGTACATTTTCTGCCATGTCCTGGGGACAAACTGCGTGGAAGATGAGCTCCTGGTTTTCTGTAGGCGACGCTGGCTGCCTGCCTTTGCTGCGCCAGTCAGAAGCCTCCCTTAGTTTTGCACATGGCCGCAGTAGTACAGGGCAGAGCAGAGTCATATCTGGCCCATTCAGAATGTCATCACTGTGCCTCCACTGAGGCCTCACTTTTCATACACTTACTCCCTTCTTCTCTCAAGCCCTGCCAAGGTGATGAGGTGACAGCAGAGCTGTTGCCTCGGAAGGGTCTGTGTCATTTGGCATTTGTCCCCAGGCCTGGGGAGAATGGAAGGGAAGCTATACAGTTCTTGCTAGATACTCAGCAGTAGAGAGGAAAATGTGGGCTGCCTCTGTCCTTGGAACAGAAGTAAGACGTGGAGAAACCAGCAGCATGGTGTCTGGGCGAGGGGCTCCCCTTTGCAGGGCTGAAAACCCTGCCTCTGCGTTGTCTGTCACTTAAAGCACATTACCGGGTCACAAAAGAGACCCCTGGCAAAGGGTGGGCATTAACCTTCTGGTGACACTGAAGTTGGAGAACACTGTATAACATTTCTACAACAGGGATTTGGCTCCCAAAGCTTGGCTTTGGTTTTATTTTGTCTTGTGAAATAACTGGGCCAGGGCTGGAGAACACTTGTTCTTTTCCATAATTTTTCTTTCTGCTTTGCCCTGTGACTTGCACCTTCCCTCTGTCCAGACTTCTGTCTCTGAAGAACTCTCTGGTATGAGTTGTGTTGCTGTGCCTCATGGCCGCGTCTCAGGGTGTGTTCAGACGGAATCGGGAAGCTCATGTCTGTGTGAAGCCAGGTGGTGCTGCAGGCTCTCCCTGACACGTATGGCCTAGGGCAGCAGGGCTAGTGTGCTGGGTGGGTGCAGGGACTCCTCTGTGTGGCCAGGCTGCTGGTAACTGGCTTGGAGCTGGCAGTGGAGGGCCAGGGTTTGGCTTCCAACTTGGGTTGGCATGTGCATGGACTCACTCAATTATAAGCATGTGCGGAGGTATGAGTTTCTTCCACTCCTCTTCATGTTTTCTTGCTCTCCAATCCTTTGTTTCTCTGCCATTTCTTCATCTGCTTTCTTGAGTTCTGTAATTCTAGATATTGGTTGCCATCACTGTTGGCTTACCCACATCAGAAGAACCCTTTCTTCTTGAGCCTTTCCATCAGTGACAGGTGGCTATCCAGGCTCACCTCAGCCGGCTTCTCCCAACTCACCGTTGACATCACCTTTCTGGGCACGTTAATGCTTCTGTCTCTGGGACACAGATGTGTTGCTCTGGCCGCACGCTGGAGGCCAGGACTGCTGTGCCCATGTTGTCCCCATCAGTGAGGCCAGGGCTTACCTAGGTGAGGTGTCCTCATGAAGCCGCCAACTGAACGTGCTTGGCTTGTTCAGTTACTGTATCAGAAGACAGTGATTGAAACAATCTTATGTCTTTTCAGGAAATATTGAAAATGGACATGTGAAGCTCATTGTTATAAATTTTAAAAATAACAGAGAACACCTACCTCTTATTGGAAAAGTTGGCCTCTCATGGAAAACTGATATTTTTGATGGCTGTATAAAGGTAAAAAACAGAAGCATTTTCTTTTATTCAAGTAACTTGGTTTCTATATAATAAAAAAGTCTCTGTGTTTGTGTGTGTGTATGTGTGTGTGTGTGTGTATGGATATACATATAAAATCATATAATCATATATATGTGTAATGTTTCTTTTAAAGTTTTGGATTTATTGTTCTGGTGTCTGAAGATTTGTGCACATTCTGTTAGCCATTGGCAACCAGTGTATTCACTCATGATATGCTTATTGAGTATCTTTCATGTGTCAGTGAGTGTGGTGGAGTTAGAGGGGCAGGCAGTCTGCAGCAGCGTTTCTGAACACTGTCGATCACAGCCCGCTACTCCTGCAAATCCTCTCTGTTTTGTGGAAAGAGAGTGGAACTGAAGATTGGACCAGGCAGGTAGCATCTACTCAAAACATCTTGATCACTCATACACCAATTTAAAACTTATTGCAATTATACATTCTTATTCCAGGATATAGGGATTTCCTCGAACTGTTAAATAAAAGATTAGCCACATGGGTGGGAGAGTTAATTTAGTGGTTGGGAAGCAGCAGGAAAGGAGGGAGGAGGAGGAAGAGGAGAAGATGCTCTCTTTCTTTGTGATCCTCGTGCCTGTGGCTGCTCCCAGTGCTTGGTACTCTCCATCTTTATTTTGTGAGATGAGCAAGATTTTCATAGTCCCAGGGACCAGTGGGATCAATCTCCTGTGACTTTGGGGGCCTCCTGTAACATGGCTTTATTCTGCGTTATGTGTGGGCATCTTGTTAGAACCATTAATGATAACACCTAGGACCAAGAGCAGTGTTATGGAGCACTGTCACTTGAGCCACTTGATGTTTGATACAATGAGATATTTTACAAATCCTTTTATTCATAGCAAATGTTTAAATTTTGGTAAAAATTATGTTTCTCACACACCATGTTGTTTCATGCCTTTAAGAGGACAGACCTACCTTCTCTCTTTTTCTTCAGATTTTGATAGAGCTTATAATAAAAATAAGTACTAACATAAAATATTCACATTAAAATAGGCCTTGAGGATCAAGAAAGGCTGAGTGTGAATGTGACAGACTTTCAAAGGGTCAGCAAATTTTTAGAAAGAATTTGTTCTGTGTTTTCTGGTAGTCCAGAGCAAGATGAGAGCAGTCATTTAGTTCTCATTGGGGGAAAAAAGGGAAGTGTAGTAATTATACAAAGAAAGCTTTATCCCAGTTCTGATCATTAAAAACCAAATCTCTAATGGTACTTTATGTAGGGCAGATTAAGCTACATAATGGGCCAACCCTAAATAGCATCTTAGCAGTAGACACACTCACAGATTTCTCATAGAAATTCTCAGAGAAGCTGAAGATATAGCTTCAAAATTGGACCTTTACATGAGCTCCAAGCAGTGATTCTGTAGGTTGCTAAGCCAATGTGACTCAGGTGCACAGGTTTCTAGAAGAACAGCTTGATCTAAAAGCAGGATTTTGAGTTTTTAAAGTAGGAATGGATTGCATGTCCCTGGACAGTTTTCCCCATAAATTCCTTCTCTCAGCTGGGCTTCAGGAAAAGATAGTGGATAGCTCAAAAAGCTTGTACCTTCTCCCTTGGGCCTGGGAGGTAGATGTAGTTGATTTGTAGTTTGCCTTTTATGCTCTTGGGTTCAATATTAAGACTAAGCTGTCCTCAGAATTCCCAAAAGAATAAAAAGTCAGATCAATGATGTCGTATTTCTTGTGTTTGCTGTGCAAGGTCAGGTATTTTTCTTCAGGAATCTCATCACTGTAAGAATAGTGAAATGATAACATGTATTTTAAGAAATTGTTTAGAAGGAGTTAAAAACTTTTATAAAAGTGTGGACATAAGCTTAAAAAGTTTCTTAGGTACATATGACTTTTAAAAAATGTAAAATAAAAACCCTGCTCCTTCTGGAAATTGTAGACACAGCCTCTGGTGAGGAGCTTCTAATACATAGCTTACGATGCCTGGCAGAGCAAAGGCAACTGAGAAAGTACATAACCCAAATACAATGCTGGTGGAAGGACAAAGAAGTAAGAAAATATTAACAATAATAATGGAGGATGCTTCCTGGTTTCATTGCGTTGGTTGAAGTGATGTGTGGTCATGAAAGTACATCTGATATCCTCAGAGCCTGCTGTTCCCGTGAGAATCTCCTCCTTCCTCTGAGCTCAGAGTCGAGTGACCTCCACACTTACTGGTATGGAGGTAATTCAAGTCGAAAGTTATCTTTAGCCTGAGTTCTTGGAGTAAAAACTCAACAGATCATAAGTTTATATGGTGAATTATTAAACTTTAAAATTTAAAAAAATCACATTATAAGTAGGTCAATTTTTTATTCCTTTTTTTTTTTAAGTCAAGCTATGATATCAAATATACTTTAAAGATGCTTTCAATGGCCACATGTTAGTACTGATCCACGCAGGACAGTTGCTCTGTAAGTGGTTACCATGCTATTTTACAAAGTCATGTTGAATGGCTAGGCTACCCTCTCAAGGTAACCTTGCCACAGTCTTTAGTATAAGTCAGGTATTCAAATGAAATACTCTCCTCCTCTGTCTCCTCTCAATTCCTATCAGAATTTCAGATGGATGGATTTTCTTTTGATGAAGACTTTCCTGTATGTGTTTCTTTTATGTTTTTCTTTCACTCCTTGGCATTTTTGATGTTATTTTAATGTTACTTCTAAATCTGTATGGAGATTGGCATCAGTGTTCATTTGGACTAGATATTTCAATGTGGTTCTGCGGTTCTGCTTTATGTAAGAACCGTTGAGCTTAGTAGAGTCTGCTATGGGCACATTGTGAGTCAGCATGTTGCGGGTAGCCATGACCCATGAGAAAGGTACCATGGCCACTTTGCTGACAAGCATTGCAGCTGCATGGATGATTAAGGCTACTGGTGCTGATACAACCGAACATCTCAGGAAGAACAGGATGATCCTACATGTGCGAGTGCTGCACCCTTCCCAGATGCAGAGTTTTGAGCCTGGCATAGTTCACTGGTCCATGGGGGTGCAGGTGAGGAGAGCAGACTTCCTTCTGCAGGGAGGGCGAGGTCTGCGAACTTCTCAGATGTGTGCCTTCTGGACGTTCAGGGTGAGAGGGGCTGATTTAGGAGAGGATGATTGAAAACAAGCTCTCTGAGGAGAAAGAGGAAAGGGCCAGTGGGAAGAAGGCTCGTGGGATGTTCTGACATTCATCCCCTTCCAGAAGGATGGAAGTATTTTATTCTGGAGAAGGCACCCAGTGGAGAAAGAGATGCCTCCAACAGGATGGGGAATAAGGAGTGAGGTTCTATAGGTGAGGGGCAGCTGGCCTGGAGAGGGGCTTGAGACCCATTGTGCCTCTGCGGCTGGTGCTGAGGTGGGCTCCTTCCTGGCCTGTTGTGCTGCCTGGGGTGGGCTAGCGCCCAGGGACAGGGAGGGAGAGTGATTGGGGGGCACTGGAAAGGCTGCTGGGGCAGGTCAGGAGGAGCCTTGAAACCCTCAGGAAAGAATTTGGATTTTGGTGGTGGGAGAACAATGTGGATGTTGTTAAAGGGTTCGATGTTCCTATCGTGTGCTAGGCCATGTTTTACATTAGGAGGGAATTGGAGAATGCTGGACTTTGAGAAGTAGGAGGTCTTTAGGAGAGAGTCAGCTCCCAGCTCTTGATCTGGCAGCAGAGGGATGAGCAGAAAGATTGAGACACCCACTGACAGCTTAGGGCTGTGAGTGGTGATCTCATCAAGAGCCATTGTGCCTCACTGGCCACTCCTTCCTGATTTCGGCCAGGGTTTCTCTTCCTCAACCTCTTGCAGGTGATGGGACCCAGGACTCCACCTCCTTCCTCTAATGGGGTCTAACCACCATCTCTATGCTGGTAGGTTTGGTGAGGTTGTAAGTAACACAATCAAATGACTGCTAGCCCAGAGGCTAAGGTCGTGCAGGGTGGTGGAGTGTGGAAGATAGGTGCACCATGCAGTCCCACCTGCTGTGTTATCTCAGAGATGCTTAGGCCTCAGAGCCTCCACTCTAAAACCACCACAGTGATAACTTCCATTTCAGGAGGGCTATGGCGGCCTGCCAAGGACAGAGCCATCTGCTGGTCCTCAGTATTGGCTTCGACTCTCCAGTTCTCAGCCTCAGTGAGGCTTCAGTGCAGGGTGTTTCTTCTCCTTCCCCACCTGCTCCCCACCCTGGTGTCCTCCTTGCAGCCCAGGCTGTGTGTATGGTGGTTCCTGTCATGTAGGAAGCACTGGGGGCTGTGGAGCAGGCTATGTGGGGCTGGTCATTGCTGTTCTAGGACCACTGCAGCCGATCACCTGGGAAAGGCATCAGGGAGCAAGGTCAGGTGTCTGAGGGGTTTCTGGGTGGTCTCACTGTGTAGCTCATCTGATGTGCAGGGCCTTAGACTCTGGCATGCACCCTGCCATCAGGGATTAGGGTGTTTCACGCTGGCTACTTCTTCATTTAGGTCTTCTGCAGAGATAGCGACCAGTTCATACCAGTCACTTATTAAACCATCTCATTTTTTCAATGTTTGGAATGTCTTTGTTCCTTAAATTTCTCTAAGATACACATTTATTGAGTCAAGACCCTTTGACTTGATCATACTCAGGTCCAAATAGTCAGCATTTTTGGCCACATCTAATTAGTTAGAACTTCTGAAATCAGTGGCACACAGTTGCTTAGTTTATGCTGATGTCTAAGAGTAGCATTTAAATTCCAATTAATAAAACACGAATATAGGGCAGAAGTTATGGCAAATAATGAGGCATCCTGAAAAGATAAGTGTTAGAAGATGTTATCCTTGACCTTCTTAGCTTCCTCAAAATTAAATAAAATAGTAAATGAAACTACTATTTGTCTAGTACATAGAACATGTTAAAAACATGGCTCACACCACGTACCCTCGTTCATAGAGGCATTAATCACAACAGCCAAAAGGTAGAAGAAAACCAAGTGTCCATCCACAGATAAATGGATAAAGTTGTCTATACATGCGATAAAGTATAATTTAGTCTTAAGAAGGAAGGAAATTCTGATACATGCTACAGTATGAAAGAACTTTGAAGACATTATGCTAAGGGAAATAAGCCAGTTACAAAAGGACAAATACCATATGACTCCATTTATGTGAGGTTCTCAAATTTGTAGAGACAGAAGGTAGAATGGTAGGTGCCAGAGGCTGGAGGAGGGGGTGGTGGGAGTTAGGGCTTAATGGGAACAGAGATTTCTACAAAATAAAGAGTTCTGGAGATTAGATAGTAGTGATGGTTATACAACAGTGAGAAGGTGTGTAAACCACTGAAATACAGAATTCAAGTGGTGAAGGTAGAAAATTTTATGTTTATTTTACTGCAATTAAAATATAGCTCATTCATAATATTATAATAATTATCAGTATCTCTGGCTGTGCTGGAGATACCCTCATTCATAGAGGCATTAATCCGGAGCGTGGATGACAAGAGGTGGCATTGGGTACAATTAGGTGGATGGGCAGGTGAGGCCAGGCCAGGCCAGGCCTTAGTGGCAACTGGAAGGAATGTACTTCTTTCTTGAGAGCCATGGAAAGTTGTTGCAGGATTTCTAGCTGTGGGTGACATGCTCAGACTCATGTTTTGTAAAGGTTTGTCTTCTGAATAAGGAGAATGAGTGGAGAGATCAGTTTGATGGCTGCCTCCTTAAAGGAAGAGCAGTCACTTGGTTCCCTAGTCTGTTTGGTCTGCTATCACAAATCAACATCAGCTGTTGGCTTTTAAGCAATATAAACTTATTTCCTACAGTCCTGGAGGCTGGAAGTGCCAAGGTCAAAGCACCAACAGATGGGTGTCTGGTGAGGGCCCTCTTCCTAGTTTCTAGAGGGCATCTTCTAGCAGTGTCCTCACCTGGTGGAAGGAGCAAGACAGCTCTGTGGGCCTCTTTTATAAGGACCCCAGTCCTATTCATGAGAGCTCTGCCCCCATGACCTAAACACCTCCCAGAGGCCCCACTTCCTAAACAGTCACGTTGGTCATCAGATTTTAAGACACGGGTTTTAGAGGGGCACAAACATTCAGACCATAGCACTTGGACTAGGGCAGTGGCAGTGGAGATGGACAAAAGTAAAGCAATTGGGGCCAGGCATGGTGGCTTATGCCTGTAATCCCAGCACTTTGGGAGGCCGAGGCAGGTGGATCACAAGGTCAGGAGATTGAGACCATCCTGGTCAACATGGTGAAACCCTATCTCTACTAAAAAAATACAAAAATCAGCTGGGCATGGTGGCACATGCCTGTAGTCCCAGCTACTGGGGAGGCTGAGGCAGGAGAATTGCTTGAACCCGGGAGGTGGAGGTTGTGGTGAGCCAAGATTGCACCATTGCACTCCAGCCTGAGCAACAAGAGTGAAACTTGGGCTCAAAAAAAAGTAAAGCAATTGGAAAAAGAGGTAAGAACTGACGGGATTGGGTAATGGTTGGCTTGTCAGGGCTAGGAGGGAGGTCCCTAGAATGATGCCCACATTTCAAGCATGCACAGCCAGATGACTGATGATGGTTCCACCAATCCTTGGGATGAGGAGCACCAGGAGAGCTTTTCTGGGATAGTCTTGAGTTTGGGTGTAGTCCTGCTGGACTTGAGGGACCCTTGAAAGATCCAGAAGTTGAGCAGGCACTTGAATATTTAGGCCTTGAACTTAGAAAAGAGGTTTGGCCTGGAAATAAACTTTTGGGAATCACAGGCATGTTGGTGATAACTTAGGGTGTGGATGTGCATGAGTTCCATTTAAGGGGAGAGATTATATAGAGTGAAAATAGGGCTTAGGACCAAGCTGTAGAACCCTAGCAATGGGAGCACATTGATAGCTGCAGAGCTTGTGGGTTCTGAATGCATTTGGGTAGGTAGAACTAGCCTTCACTGTTTTCTTGAAAAACTAAACACTGCTGAGATGCAGACTGGCAGATCGTCACTAGATTTAGTGGATTTATCAAAGATGTTTGGTCAGATGATGGTGAAAGGATACCAGGCCAGAGTGGGTCGAGGAGTGAATGGGTGTTAATGGACAAATCTAGTGGAGACAGCTCTTTGGAGAGGGTTGACTGGGAAGGGAGGAAAGAGCAGGGGGCCTGTGGGGCCCAGGGAGGCTGTTTTCTGTCTCTGCCTTTCTATGGTGGGAGTTACGTGAGTGTGTTGAAAGTTAAAAGCTAATGAGAGGACAGAAGTAGTCACTAGAGAGGGACGTGGTGCCTTTACGGGATGGGCTATGCTGCAGCACAAGGTTACTGGGCCACACGCAGGAGGAGCAGATGAGAAACACATGTGAGGAGATGGGCTCAGAGGAGCTGGGCTGTGGATCTGTGGTGGGAAGTTGAGGAAAACATCCTTCTACCTTCTCTGTGAAGAGCGAGGTCCTCTGCAGAGAGTACCCTCCTAGTAGGATGCAGAGGGCTGAGAGAGAGGATGAGGCATTGTTCCATGAGGCAGAGAGGGAGCCATCCAGAGAGTCAGGGTGGGACCCCCAGGCCATGCCGAGGATGATGTGGCTGCATGGGCACCCAGCAGCTCTGTGTGCAGCCCTCCCGCCATGCTTGGTGCTCAGGTCCAGACAGATAGAAAATAACTGGGCTCCTCCAGGGCTGGGATTTTGCTAGACCTGGACCTAAGGTGTGATGCAAGGTGAGCGAGGGAGGTATGTGCATTGGCAAGAGTGTTACTGCAGCAAAGGCCAGTGAAATCTAAAGTGGAGAAGAAGAGGCAGGAGAAGGAAGGGCTGGCTGGCTGATGGGCTAGGTCCATGAGCAGTGCTTTTCAGACCTTTCTACACATCCACTGCAGTATGCACACACATGTGTGCAATTAAAACAGCATTCATGAAATGACGTTTATGCCTACTATGTGCAATGCATGCTGTGTTCTCTTTCATTTTGTTTCGTTTTATTTTGACAAACAGTTGTGCCCTACTAAATGTAATTCAGGATGCACTAATAGGTCATGGCTTACAGGATGAAAACACTGGGTGAATCAGAAGTACAGTTGTAGTGGAAGTCATTCAGTGAGTCAGCTGGAAGATGAAGGGTGGCAGTTAGAAGACAGGGTGCCTGAGGCATTGATAGTGGAAGTGGACCACTTCCAGGAAGTGATGCATCATGAGAGTGAATAACTGAGGTCAAGTCAAGGAGGAGATCATGGAGTTGAACAGCTCAGGAGCTAAGAGTCCAGGATACTGGAAGCTCCACTGAGGTCCCCATGGATGTTGGGATCACTTGGGGTGATGGTGAGTCTTGGAAGACTTGGGAGGGAGTGAGGGGGAGAGGCAGACAGCAGGGCTGGTGCCAGAGTCCCGGAAATGAGAGCAGGCAGACAGGAGGCTGGCACATGCCGGAGACGGGCATGGAGCAAGGGTGCAGAGCTGAAGTTTGGAGCCTCAGAGAAGCAGGAGGTTTCTCAGAAGAGGGGAGGGAGGGCCTGGCGGTGGCAGTGAAGACCCAGGAGCACACCTATACTGCTCTTCAGGGCAATGCGGCGCCTCATGCTTGGAAGCACTGACTGGTCATTGGTGTGGTTTGTGTCACCTCTGTAGCCTCTGGACTTTAAGTCCATGAAGATAGGGTCAATATTTATGACACATTTCTCTGAGGTCCCAGTGCTAAGTCCTAAACTGATAACTGTGGGTGCTCCTTTGTATATCTGGGAATGAATATTAAGTGATGAAACACACAAGTATAGTCTAGGATATAAAGTAGGCCATGAAAAACCAATGTAGTATTCTGGATTTTGATGCCACATGCAACATTTTTAGTCAGTTTTACAGAGTCACGATATAAATCAGGCCTTTTTTTTTTGAGACAGAGTCTTGCTCTGTCGCCAGGCTGGAGTGCAGTGACGCAATCTCGGCTCACTGCAACCTCTGCCTCCTGGGTTCAAGCAATTTTTCTGCCTGAGCCTCCTGAGTGGCTGGGACCACAGGAGTGTGCCACCATGCCCAGCTAATTTTTTTGTATTTTTAGTAGAGACAGGGTTTCACCGTGTTGGCCAGGATGGTCTTGATACCTTGACCTCGTGATCTGCCCGCCTTGGCCTCCCAAAGTGCGGGGATTACAGGCGTGAGCCACTACACCCGGCCGGCCTTTTTTTTTAATCCTTGTCAATCTGTATTTATTTTGCAGAGTTGTTCTATGATGGACGTAACTCTTTTGGATGAACATGGGAAACCCTTTTGGTGTTTCAGTTCCCCAGTGTGCATGAGATTGCCTGCCACACCCTCTGATGGCCCTAGCTTCTTGGGACAGACGTACAGCATGGACTATGTCGATGCAGAGGGAAGAGTGCACGTGGAGCTGGTGTGGATCAGAGAGACGGAAGAATACTTTATTGTCAACCTGGTCCTTTACCTTAGTGTTGCAAAAATCAACCACTGGTTTGGGACTGAATATTAGCAGCAGGTGACAAGTTATTGTTATTTAGTTGTTTATTTTTGACTAACTGGCTTTGTTCTTAGTGTTGAAAGTTAAAATAAAGCAAATCTGCAGAGTGTTGTGTGATGCCTTTCATCTCACATTAGAAATTATTTGTGGGTCATTTTTAAGTTAATGTTTGAAGGAGTCAGTTAAATTTTAAGAAGAAAAATAACAAAGAAACTTTATATAAAAAGAAAAAAAGGTATTTACTTCTCTTCTGCCCTTGGTTAAAAGTTTAAGAACTTCTACTTAAGTAAATGATCATGTGATCACTGTGTGTGTGTGTGTGTGTGTGTGTGTGTGTGTGTGTGTGTCTGCACGTGTCACACATGCAGGGTGGGGTGCGTGTTTACACATAAGGGTTTTTCTTTTTTTTTCCTTATTGGTAAGAAGCCCAAGTGAAAAAATGTACTTAAATATTAATATAAACTTTACTGTATTCGTTAGAATTAGAAAGTGCTATATTCATGACATTCAGCAGCCATGTTAGTATTTAATAAAGTTAAATAGACCAATGGCACAAGGAAAGATATATCTGAGATCATCATAAGGAAGTTATAACTTAAAAGAGCAAAGCACGTTACAGGTCCAGTGGGGACACCAGCTCTGTGTGAGTGGGGATAGAGATGGATGAGTTATTGAAACTTCCTCTGCGGAAATATTTTAAGAAAATTGACAGATGCTCAGGGTTCAAATAGGGGTGATATTTATCTAAGCCTATGTTATTTTAAGGCATTTGGTTCTACATTGTTTTAGATTGTATAGGTTGTTTTGATTATATTTTTATTGCCTACTTTAAAGTTTCGATGTCCTGCGGTGTTCCTCCTCCTTAGGCATGCATGAGCACACGCCCCTCTCTGTGTTTTATTCTTCTCCTGTTTAGTGACCTGGCCACTTGCTCTTTGGAGGTGTATGTATGATGTGAGCGTGTGAGAGTGCAGAATAAAGAGCCTGAAGACAGCAATCAAGTGAAGATAGGGAACAGATATTACATTCTTACCCAAAAAAACTGTGAGAGTAAAAAGGATTTTTGCTGCTGACACTGTCCTCCACCTTCCTGCCCTCCACGACCTTGGGCCAAAGTCCTTAGGAAGAGAGGAGTTTGAAATGCTGTCAGGTGTTGTGAGCACTGGACTGTGTTATTTCATGGTGTCACCAAAGAGGGAAGGTGGAGTACCTGCCCCAGCTGAGTGAGCATCAGGTGAAGACCAGGAGGAGTGAGAGCCCAGATGAGGACCAGGAGTCAGGAGATGCCAAGTGCCACTTACAGAGTTGCATTGGAATACAACCACGGGAAAATATGTGGAGACTCCCTGAAACCCCTTTGTGAGGGACTAGGTGTCCTGACAATACTGGAAACATAGTAGAGCCGGGGAAGGAGCCCTATTCTCTACCTCCTGTTTAATGATGTTTGGATGGAGGAGGGAAGCAAGGACCTCAGGGATGGCACAGTGGAGCCCTATGGACACGAACGTCTGCCTTACCTGCCAGACTGCTAGTCCTGTGAGCAGGGACAATGATGACTTCTGGTTCACTGCTGCATCTCCAGCACCTAGGAGCATGCCAGGTGCTCCATAGTCGATACTCAGTAACTATTTATTGAACCAATGGAAACTGTTATAGGGATATACCAGCAGCTACGGGATCTCAAAGGAAGCTGGGACCAATTCTTGACTCAGATGATTCTGGGAGTCCCTTACATCTGAGTTCACCTTGGAAGGGAGGTTTACTGGGCAGCAGTGGGAAAGGGTGAGGTGGAGGCAGTGCTCATAAAGCCTTGGTGCTTTTACGAGTCTCATCAAAACAGGTGTGCATGCCACACACAACCGAATGATGCTAGCAGACACCCCTGCCCCAACATACCTTTCACATGTCTGCCATGTTAATATTCAGCTTTTTAAAGCTGTCTCATATTTGCCTCCATATTTCTAAATACATTTAAACATATCAGATTATGAATTCTACTTTTTGTTCCTTCCAGGATGCTTCAGCCCTGGAGTTCCATCTCAACTGCTTGCTCTCTAGCCTTGCTGGGAAGCTGTCATTCTGGGGTTCCCTGCATGCATCCTCCATTTTATGGAATCCTGTCTTCCTCTCTCCTGGTTCATATCCTTTCTTTCAGTGGTACACGTTCTCCTGTGTCTTTCTAAGAAAGATGATATGGGAGATACACTTTGAATCTATGATTTTCTGAAAAATGTCTGATGGATAGTTTAATTGGGTACCAAACTGTAGGAAGAAAAATGTTTTCACTGGAAACTTTGAAGACAGTTGCTATCCTTGTTGCTGTTAATACTACTTTGCCTTTTCTTCTTCTATATGTGGTATTCTCTCTTTCTTTGCTCACTGGAAGCTTTTAGGATTTACTCTTCTCTCTTGGTGTCTTAAAATTTCAAGATGATATGCCTTGAAATAGGTCTTTGTGTTCATTGTGGGTCATTTTAATTTATGAACTTGTGTACCTAAGTCCTGGACTTTTAAAAAATCTGACAGTACTTTCTCTGCTGTCTTTAACTTTTATTAATGAACTGTGATTCTTTCTGGATTGATTCTTTCAAGTGCCTTACCTTTTCCATCTTATCTTCTGTCTTTTAGTCTTTCGTTTTGTTTTATGGAATATTTTTGATTTTTAATCCATCTATTGAATTTTTTATTTTGATGATCAGGTTTTTATTTTATAAGAACTCTTTGTTTTCTAGTTCCTTCTAAAGCATTGGGTCTGTTTTATAAATGTAATATCTTCTCTAAAGAAGGTGTTGGCAAACTTTTTCTGCAAAGGGCCAGATAATAATTGAGGCTTTGTGGGCCATATGGTGTCTGCTGCAACTCCTCAACTGTGCCATTGTGGTGTGAAGTCAGCTATAGATGGTACACAAATGGGCATGGTTGTGTTCCAAAAAGACTTTATTTATAAAAACAGCAGCTGAATTTGACTTTCAGGCTGCAGTTTGCCAAGTCCTGCACAAATCTCTAGGTTATTGATTTGTTTTCAATAAAGTTTTTATCGTAATCATTTGGCAACACCATAGTAGTAGTAATAGTCTTAGGCAAGAATCTTCAGTAGCCCTAAAATATGTGGGTAAAAGTGTGATGAAAAAGAATACTGACATTGTGTCAAAGTTTTATGCCACAAAATAATGTTGGTTACAAAGGAAAGAACAGGAAGTTCACAGTGAAGGAGCCTAGGACAGTACCTTAACCAGTGCTGAGCAGCACAGTAATGGGCAGATGATTGCCTCCTGATCATGCCATGAGAAAGACATCGCATCACTTTTGTGGCATTTTATCAAAAAAGCATAACAGGGTTGATACATGGGGAAACTTCAGTCAAATACAGGTTGAAGGGAACTCTGCACTTACATTTGTACTTGTAGTCTACATTCCCCTTTAAAAGTGCCAGGGTCATAAAAGGCAATGTCTCCTAGACTGGAGAGGCAGGTGAAAGCAACATATGATCTCAGATGGGATCCTGGATCAGAAGATGGCACTAATGGAACCACAGGTGAAATGTGAAGAGGGGCTGTAGATTATAGCATGTCAGTGTTCATTTCCTGACTTTAATATCAAAATGTGACATCAACATTTGGCAAGTCTGAATGAAGGGTATATGGAAAATCTTTGTCATATGTTTGCATCTGTTTTGTAAACCTGAAATTTTTTCAGAATAAAACGTTAACATAAAAAAATAAAGGTTTTCACATCTTCCCATGCTCTTTTCTTGTTAAATTCAGGCTTTGTCAGTCTGTTTGCCTTGCTCTCAGGCTTGCCTGTTGGAGCTTCTGCTGTCTGCTCATATTTAAGACTAAGGCCTTCAGAAGCTCAGCAGGAGCTCTGCCGAGGGGACCCACTTGTCAACTGTTGGCTACACTGGAGTAATTGGGCCCTGCGCCGTGTTTGGTACTGGGACCTCCAAATATGAGTATTAGGAAGTCTGTTATTTAGGACTGCCAGTTTCTATACATGAGAATTGTCCCATCTCACAAGAGCCCGGGGTTGTGCAAGAGCCCCCTGTGTGAAGGACATGGAGAGGGGCTTGCTGTGGTTACAGCCCGGGGAAGGTAGACTTGCCACAGCTTGGGCCATGCTGAGAAGGGACCAGCATGTCCAGATAGAGTTGGATTTGATTCTTTACATGATCGGCAACTCTTAAATGCTTTTTTTTTGTTTTCATATACAAAAGTAATACATTCAAGTAATAGGACTATATAAATCAGAATATAAATGAAAATTTTGTTTCTTAACTACTCCACCTCCGTTTGGCCAAAGCGACCTGACATTGTTGAGACATGTGGTTTCCACATAGATGGGAAAGGATGAATTGGTGCAGGAGGATGTGAAGGCAGGGAGAACAGGTGGGAGATTGTGGTGGGAATCCGAGCAGAAGTAACATTTGTATGCTCTTGGCGTCCTATGAGTAAGGGTGTGAGAAAGGGAACTGGACCAGGACATGGAGCAAAGGATCTTAGGGGAAAATAATTTAGTAGTGTTCAGGTGACCAGAGCTTTCCAAACATCAGCAGTTTGAAAACAACTGGTAAATCTACTTTGGGATGCACTTAAAAATGTCTTTTTCTGGCTGGGCATGGTGGTTCATGCCTATAATCTGAGCACTTTGGGAGGCCGAGACAGGTGGATCACCTAAGGTCGGGAGTTCAAGACCAGTCTAACCAACATGGTGAAACCCTGTCTCTACTAAAACTACAAAATTAGCAGGGTGTGGTGTCACATTCCTGTAATCCCAGCTACTCGGGAGGTTGAGGCAGGAGAATTGCTTGAACCTGGGAGGAATAGGTTGCAGTGAGCTGAGATCATGCCATTGCACTCCAGCCTGGGCAACAAGAGTGAAACTCTGTCTCAAAAAAAAAAAAAAATCTTTCTCCAGGTTCCTAAATAACAAGACAGTTTTTAAATTTAAGTCAAGAGGTTCAGTTTGACATTTATTTTTAGTTTTTTCTTTTGAAGCACTCTCAAACTTACAGAACTGTTACAATTGTAGTTAAAATAACTTTTTTTAAAATGATTGAATCATTTGAAAGTAAGTTGCTAACAGTTTGCCCCATCACCTCTCAATACTTTAATGTATATTTCCTACAA